CTGGAACGATCTCAAGGACGACCTCAAGAACGACGTCTAGGATGACTTTAAGGACGACATCTAGGACGATCTCAAGGACGACGTCTACAACGACATCCAGGACGACTTCTGGAACGATCTCAAGGACGACCTCTCGGACGACCTCAAGAACGACGTCTAGGATGACTTTGAGGACGACATCTAGGACGATCTCAAGGACGACGTCTACAACGACATCCAGGACGACTTCTGGAACGATCTCAAGGACCTCTCGGACGACCTCAAGAACGACGTCTAGGATGACTTTGAGGACGACATCTAGGACGATCTCAAGGACGACGTCTACAACGACATCCAGGACGACTTCTGGAACGATCTCAAGGACGACCTCTCGGACGACCTCAAGAACGACGTCTAGGATGACTTTGAGGACGACATCTAGGACGATCTCAAGGACGACGTCTACAACGACATCCAGGACGACTTCTGGAACGATCTCAAGGACGACCTCTCGGACGACCTCAAGAACGACGTCTAGGATGGCTTTGAGGACGACATCGAGGACGATCTCAAGGACGACGTCTACAACGACATCCAGGACGACTTCTGGAACGATCTCAAGGACGACCTCTCGGACGACCTCAAGAACGACGTCTAGGATGACTTTGAGGACGACATCTAGGACGATCTCAAGGACGACGTCTACAACGACATCCAGGACGACTTCTGGAACGATCTCAAGGACGACCTCTCGGACGACCTCAAGAACGACGTCTAGGATGACTTTAAGGACGACATCTAGGACGATCTCAAGGACGACGTCTACAACGACATCCAGGACGACTTCTAGAACGATCTCAAGGACGACCTCTCGGACGACCTCAAGAACGACGTCTAGGATGACTTTGAGGACGACATCTAGGACGATCTCAAGGACGACGTCTACAACGACATCCAGGACGACTTCTGGAACGATCTCAAGGACGACCTCTCGGACGACCTCAAGAACGACGTCTAGGATGACTTTGAGGACGACATCTAGGACGATCTCAAGGACGACGTCTACAACGACATCCAGGACGACTTCTGGAACGATCTCAAGGACGACCTCTTGGACAACCTCAAGAACGACGTCTAGGATGACTTTGAGGACGACATCGAGGACGATCTCAAGGACGACGTCTACAACGACATCCAGGACGACTTCTGGAACGATCTCAAGGACGACCTCTCGGACGACCTCAAGAACGACGTCTAGGATGACTTTGAGGACGACATCTAGGACGATCTCAAGGACGACGTCTACAACGACATCCAGGACGACTTCTGGAACGATCTCAAGGACGACCTCTCGGACGACCTCAAGAACGACGTCTAGGATGACTTTGAGGACGACATCTAGGACGATCTCAAGGACGACATCTACAACGACATCCAGGACGACTTCTGGAACGATCTCAAGGACGACCTCTTGGACGACCTCAAAAACGACGTCTAGGATGACTTTGAGGACGACATCGAGGACGATCTCAAGGACGACGTCTACAACGACATCCAGGACGACTTCTGGAACGATCTCAAGGACGACCTCTCGGACGACCTCAAGAACGACGTCTGGGATGACTTTGAGGACGACATCTAGGACGATCTCAAGGACGACGTCTACAACGACATCCAGGACGACTTCTGGAACGATCTCAAGGACGACCTCTCGGACGACCTCAAGAACGACGTCTAGGATGACTGAGGACGAAGTCGAGGACGACCTCCAGGACGACATCAAATACGACCTCTAGAACGACGACGAGGATGACTTCAAGGGCGTCAGGACCTTCGAAGAGAGTGCGAATGTCAAGGAGTGCGTACTGCCGCTCCGCATACCCGCGGCGTCTGCGTGTTCACGGCGCATACGCGCTCCGCGGATACGCACGGCGCATTCGAGGCCAGGTCCCGTATCGCGAAAATCGGGTGTCACAAAGGGGGGGGGGGGGGTAGAATAAAAAAAAATGAATAAAGAAATGATCCACTCCGAGGATAAACAGGAAATCACGTGAAAAGAACAAAATAACTAAGTGGACAAGTGACTAGCGCTAGGTTCACGCCCGGTGTAAAGTCAGCAGAGAGAGACGACTACCACGTGGAGGATAAACAAACAAAAAAATAAATTTAATAAAATGAAAAAGAGCCGAGCACGGCAATAGACCCCCAACACAAACCACGTACCAGCTAAATGCTACGGAGCCCTGCGAACTAGAAGCTAATACTAAAAGAATCAACGCTGATATAACAGGACCAAGGCGACAAAACAGCGACGAAAACCCGACACTAATCAAAAACAAGAGCAAAAAGAGATTGAGCACGAACGTTACCGCTACACACACGGGATCACCCTCAAAACAGTCGCGACAGAAAGTAGCACTTCGTATAAATCGTCACAACGTTCAACACTTCGTACTTCAGAGCCAGAGGATGAGGTAGACAATTCAAAGAAAACCAGGCTTAGCTTTCGGGTAGGTGTTGAGTGCAGAGTAGTCCGTAGCCTGGAGTTGTCGGCTGAAGAACGACGTCTCGGAGCCCGGCGGTCGGGTCACAAGCTCGATGGGGCCGACACCGCGCACCAGACAGCCACGCACGCTCCAGCACATCAATCTCAAACACTTGTCCGACAGGCAGGGCAGAAGCCGAAAATGATAAGCTCTAAGACTCACGTGCAGGGAGCAACCGCGTCCAGCAGCGACCCGGCCAGCGCCGGGGCTCGACTACTTTCTTGGTTCCCAAATCCCCTTTAATAGCCCCTCTACCGACCAACCTACTGAACCCGCCTTTCGGGTCAGCCACCTTCCCGAAAAAAAACGAAGCTATCCGGCATCGACCCAAAATGCAGAACCTTTTACATTTTTCAGACAACCAAACATACGTGAACATCCATACCCCCGTACGATTCCAAAAACTTCAATTATCGCCGATACACAGAAAACGACCACAACGACAGACGGCAGACTGAGTAAAAGCCTGACCACACTAGCGTGAACGGCGCCGCGTCCCAACGCTATGTGTCCACATTGGACTCCGTTTTGCGGGCGTCACGTGACAACACTGGCTCTCGCGATCGCGCGCGCGCTTCCCGTCGGATTTTTTGCTCTTTTGTCGTCTGCTCTTCGTTAGATTCTTCCGTTTCCGCTCTCATCTTTCGCATATAGACGCTTTGCAGCAGCTGTGCATGGACGCCGCCATAACTGACCTTCAGTTTTTGTTTCCTCTTATTTCGTTCATTTCAATTCATCATTACCATAGCAGGCCAGGTTATTGCCATGTTAGAATCAGCTGTGTCCTTTTCTAAAGCATCGGCCTTTGTAGAGGATCGTCAACTACCGTTTCGGTTGCTCGGCATCTCGGTAAGACAAGAGAAGGTCAGCAATGGCGGCTGTAATTTGGCGCGTGTGTAAAGCGTCTATACCAGCATCGAAACCGCACTCACTGCCTACATAGTACGTGTCCACGATGACCTGGTGATAAGCGTGAATGGGATTATTTTATTGAAAATACTATCAGTCTCTATTGAGACTATGATAGGTTGGGTATACAAGTGTGCAAAGATAATAACAACAAAAGCAGCACACACTTGAAAAGGTACTATAAAAGATGTCACCATGAAGATATCATCATCATATCCTAGCCTGTTCGTTGATCTTGCGACGTCGCCACGCTCCGAGGGGAAGGAGGCATAGGTTTTGGGTCCGGCCGAGTTGGTTCTACCGAAACACCGAAGGACAGGTCAGTGCTTCGCTGCCCAGGCGGCGCGCCAGTGATGAAGGCTACTTTCGAAAGTGTCACCAAATCAACGTGACATCCGCCACAACACAGACGACATGCAACAGGTGCCACGGAGAAATTCAGTTGTAACTCCGAATTCCTCTCCTATAATTTCCCAGCGGTTGTTCTTGGCGTCATTATTTAGGTAGTCTGGGTGCGTATTGTTATATAAAAAGGGAAACAGTCGCACAGCTTCAAGGAACAGCTCCTTTGCGAAAGGCATTGGGGGAAATAGGGATAGCAGACGAAACGAAACGACGTTACGTCCATCGGAACGTGAAAGACGCGCGGAGGACCGGCTTGAGCGTTGCCATGGCATCGCGGCGTCACTATCTACACCACCTCCCATTGGCTCCTCTCATCTGCGCAGTCTTGGGTGGTAACGCGTTACTAGTAACGCGTTACTGTAATTCTGTTACTTTTTTGGTAACTTGTAACTGTAACGAGTTATTTTTTTAAAAAATGTAACTTGTAACTGTAGTTCTTTTACTTTTTCTTAGGTAACGATGGAAGTAACGACGTTACTTTTGTCGTTACTTTTCAGTTTTTTGTGAATACTATATCATTGAACGAGTACAATCTTGCTATCCCTTGCACTTTCCAAAATTTCTGTTCCAACACTTCGAGTGTCAATTTGGCCTTGCACAAACTTGCGTATACATTCCTTCTCGCGAGTCACGACTTGAATATAGCCACGTTTAGAATTGATGAAAACAAAAAATAGTTATCTTTATAAATGAAATTGTGCTTTGTGACCCAACACTTACATCTTATCTTGAAGCACTATCTATGTTACTTTTTTTTCGTTTTTTTTTTTTTCTGCGCAAAAGATTTTTAATTGGGTGCATCAACCGTGAAACAACAATACATGCAGATGGCACGCGGGTTGCCGGAGTAGTGGCGCATTTTGACTTACGTCACTACCCCGGCGTGGTGTCAACAATCGAGGCAAAATTTACTGCTGTTTGCGCGGGGTTTCTTTCTGGCTTGCAGAATACGAACTAAAATATGTGCAGGGACCCTATGAACCCAGCGCAACCGTCAACGAGCCAGCAATGGGCTAGCGCTACTAACGGTAGGGATGTTGATGAGAACAAAGTAGAACTATCATGGCTGGCGTACAGAGAAGAAGAGAAGAGAGAATAAAACTTTATTGTCCCAGCACTGTCGGCGGGATGACGGGTGCAGCCGTCTCATCCACCGCCGCCCTAGAAGATGGCCGATATCCCCTGGACCTCGGCGGCTCCTTCGGCTAGCCGGGTGGCCCAGACATGATCTTGTGGGTCTGAGCTGAGCAGTAGGGCCTCCCAATGCTCGCGGTCTTGGATTTTGCGGTCATGAATGGTCGGTGCCGCCCGAGAGCATGCCCATAAGATGTGTGGCAGATCCGCCTTCTTCTTACAGAATTTACACGTATTTTCAAATTGACCCGGGTAGAACCGGCTACAGGCCACTGGGTTCGGGTACATGTTGGTTTGGAGGAGGCGCCAGGCCACCGCCTGCTTCTTAGTGAGTTCAGGTTGAGCCGGTGGGTACCGGGCCCGTCCCAGTCGATAGTGATTCGTAATTTCTTGATAGGTGAACATGCGGTCTCCTCGCGTTCCCTGTTGGGCGGGCTCACTGGCTCGGCGTGTAAGACCTCGAGCTACCGTGTGAGCCGCCTCGGTGCCTGGGAGCGAGGAGTGCGCGGGTAACCAAATAATTTGGATCGTCCCGCGTTGCCGCTGTTGGTGATGGTCACCGTACGTTCTTAAAATTTTGAGCGCCTCTGACGAGATGCGCCCCTTTGCGAAATTTCGGATGTCGATCTTCGAGTCGCTTATAATAATTTTAGCTTTGGCGGAGGCCACTGCTAGTGCGATGGCCGCCTCCTCCGCTGTCTCGGGGTTGTCCGTCGCCACGGTCCCGCTTACGAGAGGCTCCCCGTCCGCGCCCACCGCTACGACGGACATGCCCTTGCAATTTCGATATTCCGCGGCATCTACATAAACCACGCCCTCGACGTCTTGGTATATTCGTTCCATGTTGCGAGCTCTTGCCTCCCGTCTCGTACACAGAGTATTTTTTTGTGGTAAAGGTGGTTGCTAACAAAAGCGTAAACTACTGTACTTTTTCATTTTATGCAATAAAACTTAAAAAGAAGCGTTTTCTAGTTGTTCCTAATTTTTTCTGTTGTAGAAACGTAACTGAAAAGTAACGTCGTTACTTTTTAGAAGTAACTGTAACTGTAGCGAGTTACTCTTTTGTTCCGGTAACTGTAACGGTAACTTCGCTACTTTTTATGTGAAAGTAATTGTAACTGTAAGGAATTACTTTTTAAAAGTAACTTACCCAAGACTGCTTCTGCGGCGAGCAGCGGCGAGTTCTGAACCGCGCAAGTAGCGGTTGGCACTGCGGTGCTGTACGTCGCGCCGCTGAAGCCGAAAACTGGTTTTGGTCGGCAGCCGGTAGCGCCGCCCGTCGCGCCGCAGGCCTCCGCGACGCCAATGTGGTCGCGCCTTTAAGCAGCTGCCTCCAAAAAGCGCGCTAGCCCGAGGAAACATCTCCGATTAGAGAACAAAAGAGAAAAACGAGGATAGCTCGGCGATACCAATTATCCTGGCGGCGCCCTCACGTGCCAAATCGGCACTATGCGCGGGTCAGCACACGCACCCCTCCGTCTACGAGGTCAAAGCCACAAACTGTGTCCCAGGGTAAGATATAATCCGTTCCGCCCACCAAAAGAAAAAAAAAAAAGAAAAGCCAGGAACGAGCAAACTCGTTGGGGACAAAAAAAGGAAAAGCTAAGGGAACAACTGAGATTAGAAGCGCCACCACATTCCCCTTATCCTGACTATACGACACTTAAAATTATCCGGAAATGAAATCGTAAAAATAAAAAATAAAGAAAAGCCTTAATTTCTGAAGCAGGGTGAAGCATCTAAAGAAAGCTATCGTGTTAAACAAAATAGGGATACCTTTCTTTGCTAATTTAAAAAAAAAAAGTATGATCTATTATGTCAAGTATGAAATTTAAATATTAAAGTACGAACTCGCCTACTCGGGAACAAATAGTACAAAATCAGGATATGAACCAGAGGTGGCAGTAATCACAGGGCTTGAAGGAAATGAAAGTAATTTCAAACCCGACAGTGATTAGTTAACCAATAATGCTTTTTGACGGACTCTAGTAAAATCACTTTTTTTTTTCGTTAACGCTATAGTGTTTTCAAAACGATACCACCAAACAACCTTGATTCAAGAGTACAAACAGTGTGTGTTCGGTGGCGCCCTCTCTCGACAGAGAAGTGAAATGCCTCGATTGTTCTGTCAAGGAGCGCTCCTTGATATTTATTTTTGAGCACGTGTTTTGCTTTAGAGAAGCGGCCGGCAGACGCCTTCGTGGAATTGGCACCAAAACGTTTGGTTTCACATATTGTCCTTCAGACATGCCTCTGCGGGACAGGTATATGGGGATCCTTTCCCGGTAAAGAAAAAAATAGAGCATTAGTGGAAATCAATATACTCATGGGTATTATCAAGAATGTACGAGGCTACAGAGATGTCAGGTCCCGCCTGGGAAGCCCGGAAGACCCGTTTGTTTCGGGACCTCCTTTGACCTTCTTCGACAGGGTATTTTTACACACTGCCCCTCCCTGGACGCTACCAGCTGGGACCAAATTGATTATAAGATTGATTCCTCCTTACATCAAAAATCTACATGGCACCTTCCCCGCTCTCCTAGGTTGAAAACCTCCTCCTGCTCGCACTTTAGACAAGGCCTTTGCTGTCCACGGGCCCGATGAAATAACCAAACAACTTAGCGATATTTACATACCCTCATCCCTCCGTGACACATACCCTTCGTATTCCGGCACTTTCAATTCCGATCTCGATGCCTCTTTCAGCCTTCCCGAACGTGATGCCGCTTTCGCCCACAACAAAACCCATGCAGCTCCCGGGGAGGACGCAATGACATACACACTTCGAAACCTTCCTGACTCTGCTAAACAATTCTTAATTGACACCATCTACAAATTCTATACAGCCTGATTGGAAATTCCCTCTAATCACTTTTATCTCCAAATCGGGCTGTGGCAAGTTGCATGATGATCGTCAACTGATTAATTAACAGGCACAAGTCTTTACTTTCTATTTGCCAACCCTGAACTGAAGCATCCAGGAGTCTATGAAACACTTAAAGGAATACCCTTGTGAACGCAATATATTGTCATGAAGGCCACCAGGACGAATAAAGGTATGAGTCCGTATGAACGAGACTGTCTCTGCCACGCGTTTTCAGATCTACGCTGATATGTCAGCGAATCAAATCAGCGAGCAAGGCTTGGGCAAACGATTTGTCGACGACTGCCCTGACTTTTGCAAAGGTAAATTCTATAGTATTCAATTCAATAACCTTTTTTATTCCTTCCATTGATCAAAATGACTGCAAATATCCCTGTTTACATAACAGGAAATGTGCGAGGTAATCTCAAACTTCTCCCTCAATCTTCACACGGATACCATACTAACACCAGGGGACACTAATTAGAGAATGTGTCTAGACACCGAAACGTTTTTCCTGAAATGTGAAAAAAGCGGTGTTTCAAAATGGTCTTATACCCGCACACTTTTTCAAACAAGGGCTGCGAAGAGAAAAGGGGAAAAAGGCAACTGAAGAAGGTATTCCTTCTCCTAAAATGTGAATTGACGATATAAAGTAGATTTAATTTAGTCGACAAGACACCTTGCTAAAATCTTGATATGAAATCGGATAAAAGAAAACAGTAAATGGTATCACAGAATGTTGTTCAATTTTAAGCTTGTCGATGTAGTTAAAGCCAGTATAACGTAGAAGCAAAGTTTTGTCAACAGCGAGGGTTCCAGCATAATAAATACGGCATGCAAATTGCGAAAGTGCTACAGGGTGCTCTCCGCTTGAACCCACGTAAAAAAATCAAAAAGTAAAACCACCGTCACGCAAGCAACACGTGTCGCCTGGCATACACCTTGAGTGGGATAGTAATCTTTCCGTTTCCTCAATGTCGCGATGGTGTCTTATCATATCTTCCTATACGCTAACTCAACTCTGCTACATCAAGCCGCGTTGGTGGCGCTTCGGTCGCACTTACGCTCTGAAAATGGGCGGTGGTCGCCATGCGGGAAAGGTATTCCTGTGCTGTTCTAAAATAAACCATTCTAAAACTTGCTTTCTTGTCAAAACGCCGCGACTGGGGCTGTACCAAAAGAGCTGGAGAGGTGTGAAGATCAGTTTTCATGTGTTTTCTGCCTGCTTGATTCTTCCAAGAGAGTGGACGGGTGCCGTAGAAAGAAAAAGAAGCAGACACCGTCGGACGACGATTTCATGTGGGAGCTGCACTTTGAGTTAAATTCACGGATACTTGTGGTCATCAGGTGTATTTGTCTTGTTCCAGCATGAACAAAGGAAAACCGTCAAGTTGTCCGGTGCACCCGCGGACCACGTTCAGTGCCTCCTCATATTCAGACGGCCACCTAACCGTTAGAGCTGTCGTCTGTTCCTTGAAACTAGATCAAACTGTCGTCGACTCGTTTAAACGACAGCTGTCAGTAGAACAAATGTTGCAATAAAAAGATAGTGCAGGTTTAAAAAGTTTTTTAAGTTTGAAGGTTGCAAGTGGATGCAAGGACAAGTTGATCATCGTTGCCAGTGGTAATCACCGACCTGTTATGCCTGATTAACATGGTCCGATTCTGTTTGCGATTTTTAGTATCGACGTCAAGCAGCGGAACTATTGTACACACCTGAGCGACATCGCAACTAAAAATAGCAAGCATAATCTCACCATGTGAAGCAGGCTTTAGTGTTCATTCTGCGGCATTCACGCTAAACGAATCTCCCAGAGTCACTTCACTGAGGCATAGTTTTTCCGTGTAACAAGCCTTGGGGGGGGGGGGGGGGGGGGGGAGGGGGGGGGGCTTAATTTCGCTCAGGCAGCTAAAGTAGTAAGACATTCCTAAGATCTGAAATTGAAATCTGAAAGTCATAAAATTTTAAATTACAATGCGAAAAAGTGAGCGGGGACTCACACCGACGCCGAAATCGCACTTCGATTGCCTGCTGATGCAGGACATGGCGCTTCTTGCCCACACCCCATCCCGCATGCGCGGTTCCGATAGCATGCCGCTTGGGCCGCTCAGGTTTGTTCATAAACATGAGCTGGTGTATACAGTCAAACCCGTTTTTTAAAGAACAGCCCGAAACGCTACGATCAGTTCGATATAGCAAGTAGTTCGATATAGCCAAAAACATTTACAACAAACTTCCACGACGCGTTCGTTGTAGGGCGAAGAGCTTCTCTTTCTTCTTCATCTCCTCACTTCCACCTTGTAACAAAGCGCTGCATTTTTCTTTTTGCGTGCGTGCAGAGGTTTTTTTTAAAACTTATTTTCGCTCCTGAATTCCTTCTCTTCCTGAAGAACCGCTTTGGGATGAAAAAATGTTTTCCTGTGCGTGCGTGCAAAGTGTTTTTCTCATAGCTTTCTCCCCTTCTAAATCGCTTCTCTCCGCTCAATTTTGTTCGCGGCTAGAGCTTTTGCAATTTTCTTTCTTTCCTACTTTTTCTTGGTTGGGGGGGGGGGGGGGGCAGGAGGGACAGGCTAGAACACGATTGTTTGCGCGTTTTTTGGAAGCCCTCCCTTGGGAAAAAGTTCGATATCGCCAATATGTTTTTTGGTAAAAAAAGTACTTTTTAAATGTATTTTTATTTAAACTTTTCGTGAGTTTAAAGGGGTCATGAAACGCTTTTCCAACTTCTTCCTGTTTCGCTTTCCTCCTCAACTCTTGAATCGCGCATTCCACCAAACAGTTCAAGAAGACGAAAAGAAGCGAGGCCCCTCTCGCTCGGAGAGAGCCATTGTCCCCCTAGAAGATTAGCCCGTCGCTCAAAATTCGGACAAAAGTTTCTTTCCCTACCCCGTTCACCCCTAAGCTGACAGTGTTATGGAAGCTACGTGCTCCTTGGGCTAGCCTCACTTTTGCCACGTGAGCGTGGCAAATGTGGCTGCAGAGAATGAGGTC